GCCAACCATTATGTATTTGTGCAACATTCTACATTGATTATCACTAACTACCTTGGAATATATGTCATGATATTATTGAACATACAACAATTGTTTCACATTGTTTAAAACTCATTCATCAACGAAGTATGTCGAAAACCTAATGTTCATTTATATATTGGCACTCGAAAGCAATAATCATTCATGTCAGTATCAATCAAAGTGACCACAAGTTATACCATTACTATTTTGTACATGCAGGTTTTAAATAGCATCATCCTTCCACATAGATTGTTATAAAGTGACCAAAAATAAAACACTCATTCTATCATCTCACCATTTCTATTCCATAACAGTAAAGTATGCTAGTAAGGCATTTGAAGTGGAAAGTAATAGGTCGGAATACGTGAGTAAACAGAAAATCTAGAATATAGGCACATCAAGCTCACAAGTGACAAAAAGGAATGTATCAAGCTTCTTGAATTCCACTACTAGTCATCAAGCAATTACTTTCAAATGTACCGGTCATGTTTTGTAGTTTCTTTTTGTTCATCAGTCTGTAGAGACCAAGAACAAAGATTCTAACAGAAACTTGAGGTTGAAGTTGTAAGTGATTGATAGTGGTGTATGAATGTAATGGATAATGTGTGTGCCAGTGTTTCAGTGTAATGTATGTTTGTGAGAGTGTAGTGCTAATGTTAATGTTGGTATTCTCGTTATGTTCATGTGGTGTTGAGGTTGTGTTTACGATATTATGACTAGGATTCAGTGGAATGCTGATGTTAGTGAATTATCATTTATGTAGATTATTCACTCACTGACTGAAAACGGGTTGGTAAATTCCACCATCATTTTAACAGTTGTTGCAGCTTGTCTAAACCACCTTCCTATTATATATGTTTCAATTACTGTTTTGGAGATATTATACACTGTCGAATAATAATATAAAAATTGTAATGGCGAGTATGCTGGTCTTTTCGACGTTTCTTTCCATCAATGTGAAAATCAGATACTAACGGGATCATAGAAGTTTGTCGAATAGCCACAATGAAACACAAAATTCATCAGCACAAATGTCTAACATCACGGAATTCATTCACCCCATATTTGATGTAAGTAATGAGATCCATTATATATTTCGCTAATACATCTATCCTATTCAATAAGAATAGCAAGTAGTATATTGTTATCGGCTAAATTCGTGTCCGACTGATCCTTGAACATCAAGTGTCCACTATTCTTTTTTCCATGCATTTTCTCTCACCATCATCTTATCTACCAACAATGTGAACATTCATTTTACAGAAAACAAAACCATTCAACAAGCAGATTGAAAGCAATTTGATTTAGGCAAATAAGCTAATGCAACTATCAACATCTCAGTAGAAATACAATAAATTTAGTTGAAACATTTTCACCAGGAGATATTCATGCTTCTGAAATATCTATCCATGTAAAATGAAAATATTGTTAGTGACAAGGATTGGTAGTTGGTTCTTAGAGTTGTAGCACAACTGACTGACTGACTAGTTGCTGACAGGCTCTCTAACCTTACCTGTACATTTAAGGAGATATGAATGAGAATATATGTAGCAGTGAGGATAAAATGGGTTGATGTTTGAGTGAATAAAAAGAGAAAGAAAGCCGGTGGGAAGAATGGCTTGATGCTAGCTCGAAAGACATTGACAACAGATACATACTGTGTGCCACGTGTCCGGAAATTAAGGTAGCGTGCAATGTGATCGCTGTTTGCTAAAGGCGGGAAGTACCAGGTGATCACTAATTAACATTTTTCCCATATTTGATATCTTTAAACAACACCTCACTCAACATCATTCTATTTTTGATGACTTTGTCGAGTTATCTAACAGCTCTCAGTCTTATTACAGATCACTCTGTACAATTGAATAAGTTAACCAAATTTTTGGACACAATCACACAAACACACACATTTGAGTTAATGGTACGAATCCAGATTTACCAATAGGAATAATATTGATATTAGTGGCAGAATGTTCAAACATATTCGATAAGTTGAATATTGACGCACATGTTGAATAGTGAGTGATTTTTCACTTCTGTCAATATACGGAAACGAATTTCAATGACGAATGACAGACATATGGAAAACCTTTAATTTCTTGCCAATTTCAGTCCACTCCACTGTGATAATTAGCAGTATTTGAACTATGGTACAAACTAGGAATCACAGAAATAAGCCAATTTAACCAAGAAGTACTAGATGAGCACAAACAAAACGTATTGCATTTGGCATTGAAAATCAAGCAGTCAGTAAGTAAAACGGAGTCATTAGTTCATATTAATACAGCACTCACTCAACTCTTAAAATCAACCTTAATCAATACTCAACATGAACAAACATTTGGTCGGCAGTAAAATGTGTCTATTCAGAATACTGGGTAATGATGAGTTTACTTATATAAGTGTGATAATTAGTGTGGTGCATGACAAACATTGATGAATGAGTTCACCACGACAAGGTGATATCGACAACTGAATATTTCTCGATACACAAAATTGATTTTAATGATTTTATGCCAGTTGCAGTTTCATCAAACCATAGTTAATTTGACGAGGAATGATCAATATTTATCTTGGAGGATATTAGAATATCAACAAAATGGCCACTGTCAAACACATGAGGACTCACTCACTACAATGATATAAAATTGTAATCAGCTAACGAGAAATCGTTAATGATAGAGAGTTCATGATGCTCTTCCCCACTGATTGTCTTTACTTCGGTTAAATTTACAAGTGTGGAAATTTGTATGAAAACTCTGAATATTGCTAAAATAACTTGTCTGAACAGGTCGTTTAAATAATAAAATTGATCATAATAACTAGTTACTTGTAAGTAGTATAGATAATTTAGACGGTTGATAGAATTCCGTGAGTATATTATGACTAGATAAACAGGACATCCACAAATGTGCTTTGATGGAAAATATAAACACCTCTGTCCTACAAGATGTCAGTTGTGCTTACAGTAACGTAGCCGTTAATTTTCATGTTGCGAAATTGACTTTTATCAGTTCGAATCACATGACGAGTATTAGTTTCTTCAAGATTGAGAGTTCACACTATAGTGACTTGTACCAACTTCCATAAAACTTGACTTCATGGATAAATGTCAGCAGCCTACAAACATCGAACATTATATAACTCAATTCAAATATCTGCTTAAGAAAATCGTTTAAATCGTTCAATCACATTCACTCAACGACGATATCGAAGCCTAATCAACAATCATTACATGCATACATTTTGTCAACAGTAAAATGTGTTTCCAGGATCTTATAGACACATCTGTGAATCAGTTCATCAAACGAGATTCCCACTATACAATGTCTAATGATGCATGATGAAGACGAACCAACATTCTCTGAGTTATATCTGAAACGAAGTGAATCAAAATATAAGTGAATGGTCTAGTCAATACACAGTTTCATGTAAACTACCGTCTTCTGTAATAAGATAATCAAAGTCTAATTTCAGTTCTCAGACACTGCATCTTTTATGTTAACCGATTTCCTGTAATTCTCACTTAGTTTAATTATTAATATACGACAGAGAGACTACAATCACGGTTGATTCACCAAAGTCTCATAGATCAATATACACAGGAAGTAATAACTAGTCAAATCCGAATCAATCGGGATTATTACTGTGGCCGTTCCATAGATTATTAATGTGAGGATGCCAAATCCAAGTTATACTGTGAGGAAACAACAAAAAAACTCATTTGAAGTAAGATGGTGAATGAGAACAGTGTGTATTGAAAGATAACTGGATCAACACCTTCTATGAATTGACATCCAAAATATTTGTTTTCACTTCATTCTGTTTATAGAAATGTAGTAATCTTTTGTAAAATGAGAATTCCATTCATACTTGCTCTCTCTGTGGGTGTGTTAATGATCATCAGCCAAATAACCAATTTATTATTAGAAGGCGATGTTTCTGTTTTGTTTTCAATTCCAACCAACATTCATATTACGCCCACTCTACATCATAGAGAATATAGAATACCACTTTATATGATTAATGAATGAACTGGCTTGAGTTGATAGACGATAATAGAGTATATTCATTGGTATTTCTGCAGAGAACTGAGGTCAAGAGAAGTCGTTTTTCAATAGTTGAGATCAAGAATCAATTGAGTCTAGAAAATGGTCAGATAATTTACACTAAAGATAAAGCACAATGAGTTGTTCATTGAAATTTTTACAAGATGTAACAGAAATGGTAGAACTTGGTGTAATGTTGTAAGCAAAGGTGGATAGTGGCTAGCAGTGGAATCCAGAACTCGCGTTTCGTCCTATTTGGGACTCTTCATCTCACCGTTTAGATGTTCACCCTTTCGCTTTCATTCTTTTAAATGCATAGCAGTTTGTACAGCCACAAAATCAACAAGACTGTAATAGTCTTACATATCAGAAATGTTCAGAATTATATTAAAGTTATATGAGCAAAGATGGATAATGGCTAACAATGGAATCCAGACGGTACTGGGTTCGAGTCCTAGAGTGAACATCAACTCTGTGATTCAAGTACATCCAGTTGGATTCCACTGCTAGCTACTATCCATCTTTGTTCATCAAGCTTGTGACCTCAGGCAATGCCGAGGCAGTCCTCACCGGGTGCACATATGCCAACAAGAGACTAATCAATTGCAGTCTTAAGTAATAAAGAGAAGATATAAGTAAACAACACCAAATGAATTTATAATTAAAGATTGTGTTTTTATTTGATTAAATAATCACACTGAAATTAAACTAAATCTACAATGAGTAACTATCACATTGAATCAAATAATGGGAGGTAATCATGAACAATAATTTCAGATTGTTAAAAATGTAATTTTCCCCTCCTTCTCTTTCTTTTTCTCCTTCTTCTCCCCCTTCTTGTTATGATTATTATGATGGTTGTGATCTATACCATAACGATAAATAATAGATTAGGAAATAAATGTTCATGGTAATGATATGGAATCAAGATTATTTCCGATCGCCATCATCACGGTCTTTTCCTTCTTCTCCTTTATATACCAAATTGAAATTATCTTTAGTCAAGAGAAAAGAAAATTACGAAAGAGAACAGTTTCATGTAATTATGAGGAATGAGATGATCTTCAGTGGTTTACAGCTATGAATGCCATTCACAATCTCTGGATACCAACTCCCTGAACTCATACATCTTGTTGAGGGACTTAAGAAAGAGACTAGTGGTTACTGATGAACTCATAGACTGAAGAGCATGACTCAATAATCCAAAGGACAACTGTTTAACACCAGTCACATTGCACTGTTCGAGTAGTAGTTAGTGTGTTAGCTCAATTCTCTAAATCTGTATGGTCACGTAGCGTGTGCCAGCCATCTTCAGAGTCAACCTGCTCCTAATCGTAACACTCCAACGCACATGCCTCGAACGTAAACGGAAGGGAATCAATAAGTGTTCGGATTCGTGTAATTCAATTGGATCATCACAAAAGATAAACAAGACTACCGCATCAGTATTGAAGTCGTGGTCTTGAAAATACGAACCGAGATTATTCGGTCTATTAACAGTTCATATGTAGGTAATGTAGTTGATAGCACAGTACAGAATCAGCGGAATAATAACACTCGAGATAATGTCAGGTTGTCATTCAACAACACAATTCATTTTCACAATAATCGATTCGAAACTTGTAGGTCATCTAGTAGGACCCTAGAAATGTTGTCATAAATCGTTCTATGGACTCATTCACAAAATATGTCACTTCATTTGGAATCGATTTTCACTATTGTTATCATGTGGGTCCATCGTGAGACATGAAATCGATTAGTCAGTTTAGAATGATTTTTGCTCATGTGAATTTGAGCTGAGCAGGTTAAGAGATAGCTATCTGAAATCAGTGTTCGCATATTTCAATTATGACTAGCAAAGGAATTCAAAACGTTTATCTCGTCCTATTCGGCAATTGTCAATGAACAAAACATACTGTCAGTAGACAAGTGCTACCAGTCAATCAATCAATCAATCAATCAATGTATCTTATTGAGATCGATCAACACCGTATGCATTGGAAAGTCAGCAATGTAAGGACAGTAATAATAATAATGGTAATAATAATTCCGTATTTATTAGTAACTCTGTAGTAGCTGGAGTTTGTTTTCAGGTTAAAAGTTCCTTATTCATGCATTCCAGCCAGACTGTTACTAAGAGATCTCTATGTCGGACTCAGTGTATGAAACCATCTATGAATTTCGAATGATAAAAAGTCAGTCAGAAAAATATTGGTCTATGGTATTCTGATATGTATGACTTCTCGAGAAACCTTCATTTGGGATTCAGGATTATCCCTTTATCTTAATCAACATATTCATTGGCTCAAATAACTGTACTTTATCAATACAGTAATGGAAAATCAACGAGACGAAGACCAGAAGAGAGGGAATAATAATCATATAAATGATGGTGAACAATGAGGAATGTTGTTCCAAATATACAGAGATGAACGTCCAGGAACAGAATAAAGTAGTGGTGAAGCTGAATAGTAAGGAGAAATTGAGGAATGAATTCATGTAATATACTGTGGACGGTTCTGAGTCATTTCATTCAACGTTGGTCGGACGTACATTACCATGTCTCAACCACCTCAGTTGACCAAGATTCACTGCTTCATTAACCAGTTTACCATCTGTACTGGTTACCGAGCATTGAACCTCACGATCGCTCACTGCTTAGTGCAGTACTACACAAGTAATAAACTAAATCTTACAGCCTATTCTGTTAATCTGTTACAGCCAATAATATCATCCGACAACTCACACTGAATGAGATCGAACAGGATTCGAACGTTCAACCTGATCATTACAATGACAATATAAGTTACCAAGTTCGACAGTAAATAAAAGGCAGTAGTAGCAACATTGCTTACCTAAACAGTGAGATAATACGGTTGACAATGGATTTATATATTTTTTCACCAAATCACAACCTTTCAGTGTACATGCACATGAAGCACTAACTGGATAAATTAAAGATTGTACAATTCGACACTCACAACTAATCAAATTATAACATTCAACTTGATCGGAAATACCAGATGCTGGTTCACCAGACCATCCACCTAGTATGTATACTTCATTATCAATAAGTGTAGTTGATAAATTACTCCTACTTCGACTCATTTCTCCAATTATTTCCCATTTATTTTCTTTTGGATCATATCTTTCAATGGATTTCAAACGATCTTTTCCATTGTTTCCACCAATAGCATATAAGTAATCATTATGTTGAATAAGTGATACACCACTTCTCGGTGAATTCATTCGACTTACTAAGGTCCATTGATCCGTCATTGGTTCATAATATTCCACTGAATCGTGATAATATCGACCATCAAATCCACCAATCACATATATTTTACCATGTAATTCTCCAGCTGATCCATCACTACGTACATAATTCATTGAAGAAATAGTTTGCCATAAATTTTCATCCACGATATATCTTTCTGCAGAATCTAAACGACCTCCATGTTCACCATTATGACCTCCAATTGCATAGATCTGTCCATTTGCATATGCAACACTGACATAATAACGGTTCTCATACATGCAACTTGCTTCATACCTAAATATTTTACACGAAAACTACTCATGAATCAACTTATATCGTTTAGAGTACAAACAAGTGATTAGTAAACTAATTGATTTCAAGAACAGTATGTACGGAATTGATTATCAAGTTTTAATGGGCTTGTGTTATTACCAGCATGATAAACATACAACAGGTAAACACTGACAGAAGCACTGAACGGCCGTTTCGTCCTATTATGGAACTCTTCATCAGTGCGCATCCACGATCCCACATCTCGAGATTCGAACCCAGGACCTACCAGTCTCGCACCAGAGCACTTGATCGTTTATTTTCAAGCTTTCAATCGTACATCATGCAAATTACAAGGATCGTCTATTCGTGAATAAAATAGTTGTAAAATATTTATTAACTACTGAAATTACTATGAATTCATCAAATCGAATTGAACAAAACAGGTCACTAAGTGTACATCACTCACCAACCAGATTCTACTTGGAAATCATAGCACAAAGTAGATTTGAGAGCACGATATCCATCAAATCCTCCAATTACATAAACTCGTGTTCCTATCAGTACACAACCAGCGTAGACACGTTTAGGGATCTCACCGATTAGATTATCATGAGTTGTACTCATGATCTTTTTGCCATCAACAATTAATTCGCTCGGATTCCCTTCACAATTGATTCCATCTGGTGGTAGAGAGCTCCGAAAATTGTTGATCCAACTAAAAGTATCCACAGCGTCTTGTAATTTATTTGTTTGTGAATTGTTGATCGTGAAAGTGAGTAAATTTTGGAATAAATGCAATTGTTGATTAGTTGGTATCAGAAATTGCTGACTATTTTTTGTCCATAATGTCCATTCCTTCACTACTGGATTATAGACTTGCACTGCCGCCACTGGACCCTCACCATCACGCCATCCACCGAAAACCATCGCAATCTAATAACAGGAATATAGATAGGAGTATAAATAATCATCAAAACGTTTAACTGTTTCTGATTTGTCTAAATAAACATGTTAACTGTAGTAGTAATGATGACCCTAACTTACAGACTCCATGATTCGGCTGATTCTTAACATTCATTACATACATCGTTTCTCACCATACAATCATTCTGTTTCGCTACTTACTAGTTCAAACACACATTCAAATTGTCTGTACTCAGGCACATTTAACAACCTCATTGATGTATACTTCTTCGTTTCCATGTTTCCAAAGTGCTCAACCCACGTGGTTTGTAAATTGAGAAAAGGCAAATTTCATGCCTGTGTGATTGTGCAGAAGGATTGTGATTAAGTGTGGTGTGGTCTACTTATATCCATATAAGTAGTATATGGTGTAGGTCAGAAATAGAATGTATTTTCGCAGAAGACCGATGAGGAAAGAACTGAAATGAAGCGCAATCGTTTGGAACATGCATGAGCAATGGAATAAGAGAAGAAACAGTGAAGATTGAAACAATTGGTTGTTAATTTGCAAATTGACTGTTCATTGTTTGGTTATCAGAATTTACTGAGATAGTCTGTAATGTTTGCTTAAATACATTCTATTGTCCCCAACTAGTGTTCTGTTCACTACAATAGGACTACAGAAAATGAACTCGTTTACTTCCACTGTTGAATAGACAGGTGAACTATTGTGGTGTGTAGTAATCAAATTTTTCCTGAACCTAAATAAAAAGTTACATTCACTCAGAATTATCTGTTCTCATTGCATCAATTCCATGAACAGTTTTCAACATTTCCTACATTTTCCAAAAGATCCTCTCAAACTTCATCACACTACAACGAAACGGTGGACAGTTCTCCCAAGTCTTCAGTGTTTATCTATCTAATTTTGAATTCTATTCCAAGTTATCGTCATACTGACGATCCACCATAAACATCACTTCCCTTGATACTTAATAATGTAAGGGATGGTACTATATCAAGCACACATCAGTTATTCAAGCCTCTGGATAGATTAATCTATTCACTCTTCTGAAGCTACACTATCCTACTCATCACATGTCTGTAACTTGCTGTTGTCTGACTATGAATAAATATATTAACTCTTGCCTAAATCAAGTTGACTTACATGTTTTCCTCACCGTGTGTCATTTGATTTCGTTTCTCTGATCGTTTGTCTGGATTAATGATTGTATGAAATATACGTACTCGGAATCCATTCTCCTATTTGACATACTTAATTCTGTTATACACTAACGCAAATTAAGTCGATAATTATATGCGAGAAGTGACGACATGTACATTTCCGTAACAAGTAGAAACGATTTAACTGGAGCCAGATATCAGACCACTAAAGGAACATTAGAAGGTCTATAAATGATCATCAGTCATGTACATGCTGCTAATAAATTTTGTAGTTTATATTGGGAATTGAAAATTATTAGGCGATCGCTGTAAACATGTTGGGACGAAACAGATGTTTCGATCCAATACTAAACCCGACAACAGTGTTCATTTACCATTAAACAGATGATCAAACCTTGGTGAGATCAATCATACTAGCTGATGATAATCTTCATACTGAGACGAAACATTTGTTTGGTATTTTATGTTTATTAATGATTATCTACCTAACTTCGGTTCGTGATACGCACTGGGAAAGTTGAAAATGTTCACATGTTAGTTACATAAGTAATGGTCCTACTTAAATGACATTTGAATGGTATTCATGACATGACTGTTTTCATCCAATTGATAATAAGATGGTAAAATTATGAAAAACGTTACTGTCTGAAGTGTTGAAATGATATCTTCATGGTTGAAATCATGAGCCAATTGAAGCTAGACCAACATGGAAAACCTGGAAGCACTGAACGGCCGTTTTGTCCTATTATGGGCCTCCTCGTCAGTGCTCATCGACGATCCCGCACTCGCGAGATTCGAACCCTGGACCTAACAGTCTCACATCAGAGCACTTAACGGATAGACCACTTAATGTGTGGGCGAGAATGTCAATGATTGGTTGTCTCGATGAGTCAGACATTAGAGGGGATGACAGGTGTTATGTGTTATATATATATTTCCCTATCCTTATTACGTATGGACTTATTGACTGTTCCATGTGTCGGATTTTGGTGTGAAATATATTGACGTTATAGTCAGGCTAATATTGTGTTCTTGATCTGAGTTCTGTTGAAGTCCTGTAGAATAGACACTGGGTGGGAATCTAGTGTAGATATTCGTCTAAGATAAATTAACGTCCCACATACGTGTAAGAAGTAAAAGGACTGTTATAACCAGAAACCCCTAAAGTGATAACCAGCATCCTCTCTCTACGTTTATAACAATTGGCGACGGCATACATACGTTTATAACACCACTGAGACTGCATCCAATGGTGTTAATGTCTAACTTCAACCAATCAACGATGTTTGAGCTACCGTTAACCAATTGTCTTCAGTGAGTTGATATCTCTACAACATACTTGGTGGAACTCCACCGGTTGCTGCTTCCCACTAGAACTCAAGGAAACATCCCTTACAGTTAATCACTTGTGATCATATGATTATAAATCAGAAGGGGTTTTTGTGGAAATTTCAATATTTACATAGTTGAAATCATGAGTCAATTGAAGCTAGATTACAATGGAAATGATATCTAACAAATTCATTTGCACATACTCACTTGATGTGGTAATCTTGGTGTAACAAACCGTTGTCCATATGCCTTAATAATACGATTATTAGTAGTTGCTAAACACTTTGGCCATTGATTCAATAAATCTAAATATTCTGGAATGATTTGAGTAAGATCATGCTTCTTTATATCATTTAATTCATTGGTTGTTAACATTCCAAGTCGGATACATAACAATAACTCCAAGGAATATTGAATACGTCTTACCAAATCTTCACTAATCCATTGAATGACTGCATAAAATACATTCGTTTCATGTTTACAATTTAATGTATCTTCATGAAGTATTTGACAAAGATGGTTTACATCCAGGGTTTTGAACTCTGGTGTTTGCCATAGATCTTCAAAATTTTCTAAAATCGCTTGATATGCCATAGAGCTAAGTTCAGGCCAATAGAATGATTTATAATTTAACCATATATTGATTGCAGTTGATAGGTCAATGGTTGCCATCTCTTTGAATAGATTTACACATTGTTGTTTTAATTTTGGTAATAAGAGGAAATCCGCTGCTACGAAGGTATGATAAACATTATCAGGATTAATCACGGGAACACCTTCACGTATATATTTTATAATGGATGAGAAACCAATCTTTAGAAACTCTGGTAATCGTATATTTCCTGATCCCTTATGATATTTTAAAAGACGATCGAAATAGATGCTTTGTTCAGCTATTTCCACAGAGATTATGTTGCGTGTATCACCAGATTCCATAAATTCTATAGTACGATCACACGAAAAGTCCAAATCGTCATCGGTTGATTGAAGATTTGCATCATGAATGTGTACACTATGAATTGGTGTATAAGAACAACATCGTCTAAAGGCATTGAGTTTATTTAAACGTGAGCGCTTTCCAATTTTATATCCTTTCTTATTACTTGCTGGACGACCCATCAGGCTGGATCAACAATGAAATACTTTGTACAAAAGAAAATGTTTTTAATTCGGCAAAATCAATAAAATTAGTCAATCAGAAAATTTAAACGACTGATATCACGTAAGGATCGATAAGGTTCAGTGAATTTATTGTAATGAAGGTAATTGAGAAGTGATATAATTGGCAATACTCCTAGTTACTTTTATGACTAACAATCATTCGTTATTGTTCCGTCCGATAATAATAATAATAATAATGACTTACATTATATATCTGACATAATCAGTAACATTCTATTGTGGGAGAGAACAAACTAGATTCCAACTAAGGAAAAAATCATGAAGAAGCGCTGGAAGTGGATAGGATACACATTGAGGAAATCACCCAACTATGTCACAAGACAAGCTCTCACATGAAATCCTGAAGGCCAAAGAAAAAGAGGAAGACCAAAGAACACATTACGCTGAGAAATGGAGACAGACATGAGAACAATGAACAAAAATTGGATAGAACTGGAAAGTAAGGCCCAGGACAGAATGGGTTGGAGAATGCTGGTTGGCGGTCTATGCTCCATTGGGAGTAACAGGCGTAAGTAAGTAAGTACATTAAATATCTACCATATTATACTACTTACATGTAAATTAAATAGACTTATAATGTATAAATAAGTGATAGAATGCTAAAGTAATATATTCATGAAATAAATAAAGCTTTTTAAATGACATTTCCTATAAAGTTGTTCAAAGTTGTTCGATACATACAGTGTAACTATGTTCTGTAATTGAATTAGATTTTTATGTTAACAAAATTGATATTTTAAGTCATTTACATAGTACTCCAGTATTCATCACAAATTAATAATGCAGACAGTTTGGCAGTCAGTCAGTCACAACGTAGAACTTCATACGTACGTACGTATGTATGTATGTACATCAGTTCGAGTTTCCATACCACATTAGCACAGAGATGCAGTTGTCGATTCAAATACTATAGTGATAGAAGTAGCAAGAGTATAAGCAGTAGTTGGAATTATTAAGGTATGAAGATGTCTTTTAGGGAGTATAATCCAGTGAAATAAATTTGCAAAAGGAAAAAAGATAGACATATGAAGAATTAAGAAGATTAGAATTTGGTAGAACACAAAAAGTGGATGCACCTTCGCCATTACAAACGATTTTGAGCCATGTCATTCAAGGTCTCTAACCATCGATTGCTGTCATCTCGCGAATTTCATCTAGGTTGTCTACACCTTCTAACATGCCTCAGTCCACTTGTCAGTGACTTCATGGATTTGTGACACGTTTTTGTTTGGCCGCCCCTAGCTTTCTTCAAACTTATTCCTACACCATAAAACATTGCACGTCGGGGCAGTCGGTGGCTGGGCATACGTAACACATGTCCCAGACATCTCAACTGATGAAGTTTCACTACTTCATCAATCGATTTGCTATCCTTAACTAGTACCCGTTCCCTAACGACTGCATTACTTACCCCGTGGTCCCAGGATAACAGTTTGGCACATGAAATGTTCAAATTATTTGTCAATCTATTTTAAAACCAAGCAACTATTTCAATAAATTTTACAACACTTAGGTTGTTTAAACAAGATTGTGATGTATGCGTATGACAAAACTAACTGATAATTCAGTTTTCTGAGTAGGTGGCTGTCAATCTTTTGTAGTAAATGTATAGTAATAGGAAAGTGCAGTTGGAATGGAGAAGAATACTGTGGTGTGTGCTACTGACGTTGACAAATATAAGTAGTTTGCATCATCAACTGAAAGTGAAATGCCTGGAGGCAGAAAGAGAACGAGAACAGAGAACGAATGTTGTGGAAATGAAACAACAATCAAGTCTGAGCTGAATGATTGGCATTTTGCAGATGAAGACTTTACTATAATTTTATATTAGAGTACATTTGATTGTCTCCACTTGTGTTCTCGTTCACTTCATTGCATTCATGTATTCGATTTGCTTCTAAAAGTGAATAGATTTCATTATTCACTACAACAGATCTTCAGTGGATATATCCTTTTGACATTAAAATAACAAGTTGAACGAAGGAATATTTCATATTTTCAAGACCCTACATTAATATTTATGTTTCACAAGTGAGTAGAAAGTCGATACCGATCAGAAGGTGATGAGTCAGTTCAACAATATAATAATCAATTGATTCCACAACGTATGGAAACTAATGTGAATTTCCACAATCAGTTATTTATTACATGTAGATAAATGAGAATAGGAACGGGAACCGAAATCAGATGTAAATATAAGTGGCTTTTGTTGTTGGTGTAATTAGTGATAAGTAATTAGTAGGATGAATGGAGCAAAAGTTACATAATCAGACTACTAAATAGGGTATAGAAGATCAGATTTAGAAACTAAAATGTTAACAAAATTGAAGTTTGGTAAAGTTTTAAGAGAAGAAACAGAAAGATTCAGAAACATAATCGTATCTAAATACAATGTCAGGGTAAATTCAGGAACTATATAAACACATTTTCTGAGTGCTGTTCATTCATGTTTACTCGTAAGGTTTCTGATATATTGTTATATCTTGTGGCCAAGTGGATGCCTAATTAATGTATGACTTGATAAGACCGCCAATCAGAGATCAGCGAATTATCGGTTGGGACAGTGATACACGAAAACCGTACGAGCAGTCTAGAGCCCTTATCGATCCTGCTTCTGCCTAGCCCAGCCAGTTAAGTCCAGAACACCAATAACAGCCCCTGCGGTATAAATCCTTGTATTTCAAACATACTGAGTTTATATACCAAACAGACTGACCACAACGTACCAATAAGAGTTAGCCAAATGTGGCTGTGAATAAGGGGAGCAGTAATTAATAGACTGAGTATAACTCAGGAATGGTAAATCGTACAATAATAGTCTAAGGGTCAAAATAAAGCTCACAATAAAAGGAACATGAACATATGAATAGTTTAGCAGAGATGGATAGTGGCTAGCAGTGGAATCCAGGATGCTTGTGAATTAAGGTATATCGAGGCAATACGCACAGTATGCACATATGCCAATTAGAGACTGACCAGTTGCAGTCCTAAACACATCGATGGGAAGATCCAAACAAACAATACTAAGTGAATTCAAACTTCACCCCATCGCACAAGCAAGTGGCTATCAGGACTCAGTGGCCGAGTGGATAACGCGATGGTGTTTGAAGCGAGGGTACTGGGTTTGAATCCCAGAGTGAACATCAACTCAGATGCAGGTACATTCAGCTGACGAGTCCCAAATAGGACGAAACGCGCGTCCTGGATTCCACTGCTAGCCACTATCCAACTCTGCTAACCATGCTTGTGAATTAAGGCTGTATCGAGGCAATACGCACAGTGTGCACATATGCCAATTAGAGACTGACCAGTTGCAGTCCTAACAAATCGATGGGAAGATTCAAACAAACAATACTAAGTTGAATATGAGTAGTTTAATTATTTGGCAAATTTACGATAAAAATTATATGCATAATATGGGTCCATAAATGGATTCCAAAGTTACCATTCATTATTGTTATCGGGATATAACATCTATGAAAGATTCAGATTCTGAAATCGTATGGTCAATTTGTTTGTATTTCGTAAATAAATTTAAACGTTTAAGTTTTCTCTGATTTCGTAACTAGTATTGACTAGATGTATCAAGATAGGACTTTTTATTACTTTATTTTGTTCATAAGCTCAACCACCGGAGTGTTATTAGGGAATACGATTGAACATATATCTAGTGGTGCTCCCAATATGACTAGCTACACAAGACCATTCGAAATGGTGAATACATATAAACGTATTGAAGCTAGACAATTTATCTTCCCTATTACTATCATTGGTAAATTAGGGTTTCTAATATAATATAGTTGACAGAGCGTAACATAGCTACTTAATCGGTATGATCATACGTCGAAGTCATGTTATTCTTCAACTTGACTCCACTTTCATGGAGTGTAATCTGATCAGCAGAATATATTAAATGTGAAGACAAAAGACTGATATATGGCGGCCTCACCTTTATTAGCAAACGATGTAATTTTCATAGTGATCTTGTATCGACCTTAATTTGCGTAAATGACTTTTCATATACTAAAGAATATCCGTTGTAAATCTTGTGAATTTGTGTACATTCAACTTGAAGGACTGTATGACTAGAATTTAGTTTTGTTACACCGTTACTATAAACAACTGGAAACCACTTGGATTTTTAACTTAGATGTATATTAGTATTAGCATTATTATCATTATTACTATTAATGACGATATTCAATTGAGGTAAGATGGTGGTTGGAGGTGTTCAACAGGAAACCCTGGACCCAGGTTTCGTGCTACTTAGCACTCAGTGGTAGCGTCTCTGACTGTGAAGCTGAGTGAAACGGGATCGGATCCGTCAGGGAGCAACAGTTCCCTCAAGATTACAGGTAAACCTAGCTGACGAGTGCCAAGTAGCATGAAACCCGGGTCCAGGGTTTCCTGTTGACCACCTCCAATCACCATCTTACCTCAATATATATAGTGCACACAGTGTCGAGCCACCTAGACTGGTGGCCACATTGCAACTCGATCGATAGCATTCGATCAGCACTAAGAAAAATTTGACACGCATGACAATGATCACCACCCAGTGATCCATCTATTGTGACTATATTCCATATTTTATGTTTGGTATGATGAAGAATCCTGAGCACGATCTACTTGAACATGTTTATTGTTCAAAACATTGCATATCTAAATACATTAATAGAGTTGATAAAATGTCTGTTGACTAGGTCAGCTCGAACATGGTTTGGTTGCTAGATAAGGTCTTGTGGAGCTTTTATATATTTGCTTGTGTCCATGAATTCTAGTAGATGTGAAATATCTCACTTTGTCTGGGGACTCCTGACTATATATTGTGATGTGGAGTAATTTCGGCACAATTCATAAGCGTACATCACACACACTTTGTTAGTCATAGATCATCAATATTTCTTCTCAAATCACCATCTCATATTTAATCTACC